CTAGTTTGTATTAGAAACTTCATAGAATTTCAATTAAATTTCAATAAATCTCATTTAATTTTTGAATTAAATTGCATTTGATTTATTGAGTTGCTTAGTTGCTATACCTTTCATTAACATTTAGTATATCAAAAGAGGTCAGAATGGTTTCTTGAAATATGGATTGTGAATACTAGTACATTTTATTTCAGGAAGATGAATAATAACATCACTGTAGAAAACTATAATGAAAATGCAGATGTCAAGATTCCAAATCCAATCAGGACATTTGAGGAAGCCTTTAGTCACTATCGTAGGTCTTTATGTTGGTGCCCTCTTGTAACATATTACAGTTGAGAGTTTTTTTTATTTAGGTTGTACATTCACTTGTGTTGAATTTTCTAATACTCTCAGAATGTGAGGCCTTAAAATTCAAATCTTAAAATGTGGTTGATTGAGTGAATATGTTGTGTTCATGTTTTATTTCAGCTGAAATATTGGATGAAATAGAAAAGGCAGGATTTGTGAAACCCTCTCCTATCCAGGTATTCATTGTTTAAAGCAGGTCTTACCAACTTAGATGATTATATGAATTATATGAAATTTTCCTGATGCTTCCTCTATTTTCTCAAGAATCTCAGGCATACCTAACATGAATCAATTTTATTTCTGCACATTTTGATACAACAGGCTTTAAAGTAAATGATTTGAAATTCTTTTCTTAGTATTTTCTGTGACTTGATGTGTCATATGTTTGAAAAACAAAAAAATGTAGCTGAATTATATAAAATCGAATTTTCTTATGTGGCACTTTTTATCAACCATTTTAGCAGCATTTCTATAGTATTCAATAACAGTGGCATATTTTGACTTATTTTCAGTGTCAAGCTTGGCCCATAGCTTTACAAGGAATAGATCTGATAGGTATAGCACAGGTAAGAGAGGCATCCTCAAAGCAGAAAGAACATGGTTAAGTAAACAGAATGCAAATTTAATTGATGACAACAACAAGTAATGTATTTGAATAGAGTACAATGTGCTACAGAGAAGGTTTCTTGGAAAGTATATTTTGACATGGTAATTGATTACTATTGAAATATGAGGTGACATGTTCAAAGAAAACTTGGTGACCAAGATTTTTGCTTTTTTTTTTTTTTTTTTTTTTTTTTTTTTTTTTTGTAATACACAAAGTTTATCCACTATCATTTTTGTAATGCAAATTAGTATATCAGTAAATCAAAGTATGATAAAAAGTAGAAAGTAGATAGAAAGTATAAGGTTGATAACCACTTGGCATAATTGGCTTTTTCACAGTTTCATGTTAAAAAACAGTTGTGTATTTCACATACAGCTTGGTGTCTGACATTTATTTATTGCATAAAGTGTTGTATTTCAGACTGGCACAGGAAAAACCCTGGCTTTTTTACTACCAGCACTCATCCACATAGATGGACAGTCAACGTAGGTGACATTTTTAAATGCAATTTTTCAAAAACTTTCATTTTGCTTTTTATCCCTTTTATTTTCAGATTTATTTCATTTGAAATAGTCCATGAAATTAGCCAGTCATTGGAAAATTCATTTTCACAAATTTGCACTATTGTACTTATCAAAAAGATCAATAATTGTACAGTCTATCATTTTGAATTGACCATGTTTGGGTGGTCCATAGCTCTGATATATCATATTTATGCCATATTCTCAATGTATTTTAGCCCACGTGAAGAGAGAGGGGGAGCCAATGTTTTAGTCTTATCTCCCACCAGAGAATTGGCATTGCAGATAGAAAGTGAGGTTAAGAAGTATAATTACAGAGGAATCAAATGGTAAAATGATAGACAAAATCAGTTTTTAATTACTGGATTAGAGAATGATGGTATTTAAAATTGTCTGGTAAACTTGATTTTATTTTTTACAAGCAAAGAGAAAAAAGAATTAAATTTAACAAAATTCCATTAAAAAGAATAATTGGTTATGGCCATTAGTTTCCTTTGAAAACTTCTCTCTTTGTTACTTTCATAAAGTCAAGGGTTTCATCAATAAAACATGATGTTGATTTTTTATTAACCGTAGTAAGTATTCAAGGTCATAAAAGTTGAATTTTTCTACCAATACACTTAGTGTGGTCTCCAATATTTCAGCTGTTGCGTGTATGGTGGCGGCAACAGAAGGGACCAGATAGAAATCGTCAGCAGTGGTGTAGAGATTATAATTGCAACCCCTGGAAGACTTAATGATTTGATTATGAATGGCATCATTGATGTCAGAAGTGTCACTTACTTAGTAAGTCTACCAGAAACATAGTTTACTAGACTGTGCAGGAAATTGCTGGACTAAAAATAATGAATCAAAATGTGCCATTTGGCAAATTTGAGATTTTTTTTTTTACCAGATTGATTGACTAAAAAGGAGAGTATTGACAAAAATAAATACCTTTACTACCACAAACTTTAAAATTAACACATAGTGTATCTTTTTGACAGGTTCTTGATGAAGCAGACAGGATGCTTGACATGGGTTTTGAGCCACAGATTATGAAAATTTTGCTTGATATCCGTCCAGACAGACAGACAATTATGACAAGGTTTGTATTTAATAGATAAACAAAGATTTGATGTATTTTTTTCCCAAAAAGATTGGCCCCTTTCAGAAAAGGGAACTTACAAGTCTGGGGGTCAATTTGGCTGACCCACTTGAATATTTCCCCATAGGATATCTATTCAGTGTCTATTCGCAGATTAGACGGCAAGCTTTGTAGTAGGTCACCATATTTGACCCTCAGACTAGTTAGTCCCCTATTCTGAATGGGGCCATTGTTAGAGTAAAAGCTGTCATTTGACAAATATATTCATAAAAGATCTACCATGCAAACTGCTCTTCAGATTTCAGTATTGTAACTAATTCATCTAAGTTGTAAGCATTTTCAGTGGAATTTATTTGTTTCAATATTGCTATTGATACCAGTGCCACATGGCCAGAGGGAGTGCGTCGCCTGGCCAACTCCTACCTGAAGGACCCAATGTTGGTGTTTGTGGGAAGTCTAGATCTGGCTGTAAGTGAAGTGTATTGACAACGCTCCTTGATGTGAATAGGCCAATTTAAGTCAGTTTACATATAAGTGTCTGATCAACATATTTAATAAACATGGATTTAGACACAAAATAGATACAAAAAACTCAAAAACTTAAGTTATATTCTGCAGTACTGTGTTTTCATATTTTTAGTTACATGCTCGGGAAGAATTGTTAAACATTCATTTCTTTATGAGGATTGTGTAGTTTATGCTTGAATTAAGTTTTTTCCTGGCAACAGGCTGTCCACAGTGTTACTCAAAAAGTAGAGATTTTGGCAGATGAAGAAAAGAGACCAAGGGTATGTAGCCTTTTAAGAATAATTTACTGTCATTGTCTTATTATTATATTTCAAGTAGTTCAGAGTTGGCTGTATGTTTTGACCATGATTGAACTCTTATGAACAGATGAATTATTTATGTCACAATAAACCCCCAGAAATCAGAGGAATATGAAATAATGCTTTTGTATTATTTATGTTACACAATCAGTTTGTGGGATCTAAGGCCTTTTGATCTGTTCTTTTGCAGTTAACAGAGTTTTTGACTCATGAACTGGGGCCAGAAGATAAAGTCATTGTCTTTGTGGGAAAGAAACTTGTGTATGTATTAACATAATTTTCAACATGGACATTGAGACCAATTGTAATTGACTGCACTAAGATTGAAATCCTGATTACATTTAATTTTATTTGAAATAAACAATATTATAATACTTCAACTGTCAGTTTACCTCTCTTATTTAAATTTAAAGAAGTTATGCATACTAACCTGTTCACTTCTATCCTCTCCTTTCAGAGCTGATGACATTTCAAGCGAACTCAGCCTGGATGGTGTGCATTGTCAGTGCATCCACGGGGACAGGTGAGGGCTTGTTATTTGTACCTCCCAAGTAGTTACATTATTTGGGAAAAAAAGCCCTGTCATTTCAATACAAAATCCTTTCTTTTCTATAAATAGCTAATTTCTCTATAAATTCAAACCCCTACATTT